TGATTGATCAAGAATTCTCTAGAATATGTGAGAATGTGATGACCTAAAATTTTGCAGAACTTTCTGTTTCTTGATGTTTCCTTCATAGTACAGTAAAACTTGTCTAATCTGGATGTTGTGTATTCCGGAACTTTGTCTAATACGATCTAAACTTGAACTCCCTTTCAGTAAATTTCATTGTTTAAAATGTTGTCTAATCCAGCCAATTTCTTTGGAACCAGTGGTTTCCGGATTAGACATGTTTTACTGTATATAAGTAACAGTTTTTGTGATCATAGATTAGATTGAAAAAAAGATTAAGTATATATCAGAAAGCATTCTGAATATCTTAGCTAATGTGGTATTGTGATTGTTAACCCTTGTGGATTTGTTATTTGCCTTTAATCGCCATAATAAATGACAAAGAAGATCTCCATGTGCTTGTGATTTGCCCCTTTGTTTGGTGCCGGGACCCGGAAATTGGAACCTGCAATCAAGAAATTGTCACGGAAAAGAACATGTCAACCTCATACTTGAAAGACTTTGTACAAAGTTCAAAAATTTACTTATGAAAGAAATAGTTAAAGGTAAGACATCCTTTTCTCCAGAAGCTGGAGAAGAGGATTTGACAACCAAGTTAAGGGAGATTCAATCTTCCTTAAGGCGGTTAAAGGACTTTGGTACATAACTCGAGGAATCGATGATAGAACTTTCCATTGCCTTAGAGGGCAAAGTTGACAACGAGTCTGGAATTGAAAAATTTTCTTTAACCAGATACTGGAAGATAGTCAAAAGCTGTTTGAATTGATCTCTCTGAAGTTTCAGAGCACTATGAAGAACTTCTACTACAAGAAAAAAAAGACTGGAGCAAATGGACATTCAATATTTGCAAACGGAAGCATCAGATGACTCAAGAATAGACCACATGAGAGATCTGCAGACACAAATGCAGCAACAACTTTTGAATTTCCATGAACTCCGAATTCTGGAATTGCACAGGAAAGAGAAGATTTGCAAAGAATAAGAATCTCCAGTAGTTAAACTTCCAAAGTTTGAACTACCTTCATTCAATGGAGATAAATCAAAATGGAAAGGACTCTGTGGCTCCTTTGAAGCTTCAGTGCACAAAACCCGAGGCTTTTAGATATTCAGAAGTTCAACTACTTGAAAAGTAAAATGGAAGGAACAGCAAAATCTGTTATTTCCGGCGTTATGCTCCCCCATGAAATTTATGATGTAGCTCTCTCAATATTGAAGGAACGATTCGGAGATGTGCAGTCTGTAATAAACAAACATTACACGGACCTTGTCAACATTAAGCCTGCACTCAATAACGCTTCTAGTGTCCGTAGATTATTGGATGGACTAGAAAAACATATGCGCATCTAGAAGACTTGGAACAGGATATAAATGAAGATGTCTTTGTTACAATGATAATAACAAAGTTACCAAAAGAAGCCCGATTACAATTAGAAATACAGAAAGGAAAGAAAGAAAAGAGGACTGTGCAAAAGCTGAGCTTATTTCTTGATAATTACATACACTGTAGTAGCCAGAGAGTCTACAGATATGGACAACTAGACTCTCATAAGAAACAACCTGCAAGAAAACTTCATTACCTGGAATGTCAATTGAAAGAAAACATACGAGGGTTGTTTGAAAAGTTCGTGGACTGATGTGATTAAATTAATACTATGTAGTCTATGCTTACAAAATTTTTATTGAACATAAAACAACAAAAGTTAAAGAAATGTTGAAAATTTTAGCTTGATACCTTGAATATTTACCAAATTATCATAAGATAAAAAAGACATTATATGATCACACGACGCTGTCGCCATTTAGTTTCATGACGTCATTGTTTTTCAATGTCCGCATTCTCTACTTCATACACTTATCTTGATGAGTTTTCTTGGAGTTAAGAAAAGATTTAAACCCGTCTTGTTTATATGATTTTACATTGTCATAAACAGCTGATTTCAATGCATATGATATTGTAAATAGATCTGAAATATGCTCACTTGATTATAACAGCATATTTGCTTGTCGGAGTTCAACATTTATCACACATGATCAACTCCACTTTTCGACATGACAAACTTCGAACACCCTTACTACAAATCGACATTAACTTTACATCTCTCGTCTCTCTTAATCTTTTTCGGCGTTTAAAAACAAGTACTCTGAATGCATTTTATTTTTCAGTAGCCCATTTAAATATTTCCTAAGTCTATGCCAGTTTTTCCAGAGGGTGAAACTTTATAGAATGTTGGAAAAAGAAACCCACCCACCCCTTTCTGACGTCATTACAACCCCAAAATTGTTTGGACATTTCATATAAATTTTACAATAAAATTTCATAGAACTTACAGAATGGGGTACAAATTGCAAATTTTATGGTACAATTGTGTCATACCACATGTGTGAATTAACAGGATTTTTGAATGACAAATGCTCATATCAAAAAAAAGAGTTTTTTCTAAGTTACATCTAGGTAGAAAAAACGTGATCTTCGAGGTTGCGCCGCCTGGACATTCCATTGCTTTCAAAAACTTCAACAATTTATTTAAAAATAAAACTAATGATGTATAGTTTATTATATAAATAAAAAAAGATGATGCTTATTGAACGTTAAAAAATTCATTGATGTATCTTAAGCGGTTTTAATTTTATGGCGCTAGTCCACGAACTTTCCGAACAACCCTCGTACATCTGCAGAAGCCTTAACAACATTATTTCAAGAATCACAAAGAAGAAACAAATATGAAAGCAAACACCCCATATGTATCTTCTGTGAACGAAATGATTGGAGTGATGAATGCAAAGAATTCAGGAAAAATGATGACGGAAAACAGAAAATCAGAGGAAGATCTTACATTTGTCTTAAGCCAGGTCACCTGAGCTGCAAAGTAGACAAACCGTGTGTCCATTGCCATCAGACTAAGAAACATCACCGAAGTCTCTGTAATAGGAAAATACAGCTTTTGAGAGAAACCTCACACTTTGTTGAAGCATCAGAGATTCATGATTCTGAGGCAGCTAACAATATACCAGAATCAGTCTACTGTCCTTAGGTACTATAATGCTAATGTAAACTGCAAGAATTGATGCATTAAATCTGAATGGATGAAGAGTTGACACTATTAAAATTCTGATGGACTCTGGGTCTCAGAGAACATATGCTATTGAGAAATTAGATTCAAGTTTGAATTTGCAGAGAAAAAGAACAGAAGAAATATCACTTATCACCTTTGAATCAACGAAACTGAAAATAGTAAAAACTCCAAATGCATATTTAAGAATTAAACTAAAGGAAGGGTACTGCATGAGAATTCATGCAAATGTTGTGCCTCAAATAAATGGGTCAATACAAGAAGACCGTTGCCAGCGAACATCACTGATAGGATACAGCACCAATGAAAACATTTACAATTTGCTGGTACTCTACCAAAAAATACAGAGAATTCAACCATAGACATCCTTACTGGGAATGACTATTATTTTGGTTTAGTATCATCAGAAAAAAATGAAGTTAACCATGGACTTAACTTACTCTCATCAAAGGTAGGATGGATTGTCACTACACAAAAGAAGATTTTGAGGCGTCCAGAGATCTTTTACATGAAATGCTGATTGTAAATGGAAGTAACCTAACAACAGAATGTTGTCTTCATTCCAATGTCAATCAATGTTTGCCCTTGAAGTCATCATTGGATGAGTACTGGAACTTGGAAACGATTGGAATCAAAGACCGGCCTCACTCACCAGATTATTACAAGGCTTTGAAAAACTTTACTGATACAATAAAACTTAGTCAATGGCAGATATCAAGTCAACCTGAGCTCCCAGAGAGCAGAAAACTTGCTTTTGGAAGATTAAAACCTTTAATTCAAAAACTAAAAAAGAATCCTTAGCTACTTCACAAACATGATGAAATAATTCAGGAGCAGTTCAAGCAAGGCATCATTGAGAAAGTGACGAAGAGCAGTGAAGTAAAGAATAGTGTCAAACACAAAATACCCAATCATGCTGTTATTGATCCAACAAAACATATCAAAAAAATACAGATCGTTTATGATGCATCAGCAAAGTAAAAACCAGAGTATAACAGCCTTAATGAATGTCGTTACAGAGGACCAGTGATGCTAAATGGTTTATGTTGATTGTTATTGAGATTTAGAATGAAAAACATTGCAATTATTGCTGACATAAAAAAGACATTTCTGCAGATTGAATTACAAGGAAAAAAACAGAGATGTGAGAAGATTCCTTTGGTTAAAGAATATTGACACTCCGACAACAGCAAATAATATTCAAGTGTATAGATTTACGAGAGTTCCATTTGGAGTTATATCAAGCCCTTTTCTGTTGGCTGCAACTTTAGATTACCATCTTGGAAACTATAACACCGCAACAGCTGAAAGCATAAAAGGTAACATCTACGTAGATAATGTTATCACTGGTGAAGAGTCTTTCTCAGAGGCTAGGAAACTATATACAGATGCTAAAGAAATCTCCAGTGTCATGTCAAGATAAATTTATGTTAATAAATTGTTTTAAATAAAGTTCGTTTAATTGAATCCTGTATTTGTTAAGTATTATATATGTTAGTATGTTTTGTTATTTCATTGTCAACCCCCCTTTTTTTGTTTATGTAATATGTTTCGTAATGCACCCCACCAGGGGCCTCTTTGTTTTTACCCAATCATTGTACAGTATTTTGTTTATATAAGTATTTACATAACGCACCCTGTCGGGGGCCTCTCGATTTTGTTTTCATCCAATAGCTGATCAGCATCTTTCATTATCATTTTTGTTTTGTCGAGAGTGGCTGTGTTTTCTATTGCTATTGATTTGGTTTCATTGATCCATATCTTAGGATTATTTACCTTTTTCCAGGTATTTAGATACTTTATTAGCATTAACTATAGTGTTTTGGTGAGTGTACACTCTCGACACGTTTGTATTTTGGATTATTTGTGCCTGTGTTTGTGTGGGAAATCTAGGTCATCCTGCCTATCATCACGTGACTTTATTTTGTAAACAATGGCACCGTTACATGTTCTTGTCATGGGACATTCATTCATACGGAGATTGAGAGACTATGTTTTCACAGATGGAGATAATACGAATTTAAGATTGCAAGGAGATCAATTCGAAGTGGAATTTCGCGCGGCGGGAGGTTTGACGATACATCGGATGGCTAGTGATGGACGTTTTACTTCATTTGAGAGAATCCCGGACATTGTGTTCCTTCAGATCGGTGGAAACGACCTTGACAATGGAAGAGATGTTAAAACTGTTACGAGAGACATTATAAGTTACGGAAATTTCCTTGTGAAAGGATGTAGCGTTCAGTCAGTCATTATTGGACAGGTTATTTGGAGAAAAAGGACCAATAGTTACAACGCTAAAGTGATAGAACTTAACAATGCATTAAAACATTGGGTTCAACAACATGCGGATGCAAACATTATATTCCATCACCACCATGGTTTCTGGTCTTCTAATTTTGACTTCCTGTCCAGTGACGGTGTCCATATAAAGTGTTCCCACACTGACAAGAGGCACATGCACAAATACATGCAAAGTGTCAAGAGAGCTATTCTGAGAGCGGCTAATCGTCTCCCTGGGTAATCGTTTTACATTTTCTTTTAAATTAGTCTTGGTACATTTCTTTTGTTTTTGTTAGTATAAGAATTTATGTACCTTGACAATTTTTCTTTTACATCTCTATGTCAGGTCCTGTACTTTGTACCCTTTAAAATTTGTGATCAAACTCTTGTTAAAATGGGGTGTAATAGTGCAATTTAAGGTACTTAACCTGTACTTAACCCATTTGTTTACTGCAAATTTTCTTTATTTGGGTACTCAGTACTTCTGTTATGGACCTTTTTCTTTTCTTTCCATTTGGAAACAAACCTCTTTTATTATCTTGCAAGCACTGAAATAGATCCTCTGTATGCCATTTCTTGAATATACAATCTTGACTTGGGGACACTATTATATTTCAAAAAAAAAAAAAAAAAAAAAAAAAAAACCATTGGGTACATTTTAAGAATCTAGAAATGGTGCTCTTATTGAATAACATTATTTTCAGAGAGTTCAGAGATGCCAAGAAAGAGGAAAGAAGCAGATGTTCCAGATGGACTGCCCGAGGCAACCACTGGAGCAGGTGATACCAGTGAACCAGCACCTAAGAGGCCACGCAATTCGCCAGGATCGAAAACTGCTGACATTGACTATGATAAATTGGCCGATGCCATCTTGAGGAAACAAAAATTTGGTCCAAGTCCAATTCAAACACAAACAGTCTTGGCTGATGTTGTAGACCAACCGGCTGCATGTTCCTCAGGATCTAGTATTACACCACTTCAACAGGATGAAGAAATTAGTAACTTTGTGCATGATTCAAATTCAAACATGTTAAATAAGGAAACAGCCCAGTCTTCTTTCTTACTGGCATTAGACCAATTATTTGGAGGTGAGTCCCTCTCAGTAGGGGATAAGTCTTTGTTGAGCAGTGTTGCTCCTTTGCATCTTTCTGCAGGGATACCATTAGGTGCAACAATCACCCAAAGAGTGAAACAAAAGATCTGGAATAATAAATTTGTAGATATGGTATCATTATTACCTGATTTTCAGGAGGAAAAACTATCCCTGCAGGTAGAGCAAGGTAGCATCACTGTCGCTTCACAAGGGGCAAAGAAAAATCCATTGAATATATATCAATGGACAAATGCATTTCTAACCTTTACCTCCATTTATCTGGAACATAAACCAGATGAGGCTCCTCATTTGCTTAAGTACATGGCCACAATCCGCCAGATTCATGCTACCAATGGTGATGTAGCTTGGCGGTATTATGACGAAAATTTTAGGAAACTACGAGAGTTTACCTCTCTCCCTTGGCAACAACCCCTGGGAGAACTCATGGTCAGGGCATCAACGATACCAAAATCTTTCACACACAATTTTCGCTCCTCATATAAATCTCAAAGGGGACAGCCCTTTCGTGGAAGACCATGCTATGCCTACAACAATGGCCAACCTTGTATGTCCTCCCCATGTTCATTTAAACACATCTGCCTTTATTGTAAAGACCCCCACCCCAGATTTCAATGCACAAAGGCCAAAAGCATTCCTCAATCAATCAGTGGTCAATCAACAAAAGCCCAACCCAACAATCAAAAAACAAGGCCTTCCCAGCCCAGTAAACCCTTGTCGGCTCAGTGAATACCTGATAGATTATGACCCAGTCTTGAGACAATATCTTATTGAGGGTTTTTCTCAGGGTTTTCATTTAGGTTGTTTATCATGTCCAGCTTCTAGATCATGTAAGAATCATTCATCTACTCAAAGACACTTTGAACATGTGAAAGAAAAATTACAACATGAACTGAATCTAGGTCGAATCCAGGGCCCCTTTAAAGAATTACCATTCCCTAATTTGGTTTGTTCTCCATTAGGTGTAGTGCCTAAATCTACCCCAGGTAAATTCAGGTTAATACATGATCTTTCTTTTCCGTCACATGATTCCGTTAATTCACATATTCCTGATGAAGAGGCCAAGGTTCAGTATGATACCATCCATTCAGTTATAGAATTAGTCAAAAAGTTTGGAAAAAATTGCCTGATGGCAAAAACAGATATAGAAGATGCTTTCCGCATCATTCCTATTCACCCTGAATGCTATAAATTGTTAGGGATCTTTTGGGATGGGGAATTTTATTACGATAGGTATTTGCCTATGGGAGCTAGAAGTAGTTGTAAAATTTTTTAAACTTTCAGTAGTGCCTTGCAGTGGATTATGCTTACTAAATTTGGAGCAGGTGGTATGTCACATATGATAGATGATTTCTTCTTTATCGGTGCAAAAGGTTCCAAGGATTGTGATCGAGATTTAAAACAGTTTATTTCCTTATGTTCAGAAATTGGTGTACCAATCAAACATGATAAAACTGTTTTACCATCTACAGTTATAACAATCTATGGCATAGAGATAGATTCAGAAGCTATGGAATGTAGATTACCTATGGATAAGGTGGAAAAGATTCGCAGTCAGTTACAAACCTTTTCAAAAAGGAAGAAAGTAACTCTGACAGAGTTACGATCATTACTGGGTTTGCTAAATTTTGCTTCTTCTGTTATTTGTCCTGGTAGGGCCTTTTTAAGACGCCTTACGGATCTTACAAAAGGTACACCTAAGCCTCACTATTTCAAGGTTAGACTCAACAAGGAAGCAAGGTTAGATATCAAAGCTTGGCTTATGTTCATTGAAAATTTCAATAATAAGTCTGTTTTCAAAGAAGACAATTTTGTTTCTTCTGATCATTTGAAGTTGTATACTGATGCATCAGGATCTCTGGGGTTTGCTGGTGTGTTGGGAGCAAAGTGGTTTGCAAGTGAATGGCCCTCTGAATTTTGTGATCTACAAATTGCTATCAAAGAATTATTCCCAATTGTACTAGCTTTAGAAGTGTGGGGAGATATTCTGGAGAATAGGAATGTATTATTTCTCACTGATAATGCTGCAGTGGCTTGTGTAATAAATAAACAATCATCAAAAGAACCAATTATCATGCGGTTAATTAGAAGACTTGTTGTCGTATGCATGTGCAAGAATATTCATTTCAAAGCACAGCACATTCCAGGAAAAGTAAACGTAGTTGCTGATGGTTTATCTCGACTTAAATTTCAGGAGGTACGACGAACAGCTCCTTGGTTGGATCTCAAAGCAACTCCAATTCCACCAGAGCTAATGACCATTTGAGTAAGGAATCCATGATGCTTTTACGTAGTTCCCTTTCTCAAGCTACGAAGAAATCTTATGCCAAAAGCTGGAAGTTATTAATTGAGTTTCAAAAATCTTTCAGTATTGATTTAATATTTCCTGTCTTGCCAGTTATTTTAGCAAACTTTATTGGTCACCTTCACTCATCAGGAGTTAGCCCTTCTTCAATAGCCTCTCATTGTTCAGCTATTAGTTTTGTTCACAAGTTACTAAATGGTCTCGATCCATGTCAGTCCTTTCTTGTCAAGAAATTGCTTAAGGGCTCAAGATCATCTACACGTAATATCTCACCTGATTCACGCCTACCCATCACGCATGCAATCCTTGAAAAATTAGTAGAAAAATTAAGCGTGTCAGTCCCTGATCCCCATTCGAGGTTATTGTTAAAATCCCTTTTCCTACTTGCATATCATGCATTCATGCGTCTTGGTGAATTAGTACCAAAATCAAAGGCACAAGTGGAAAAGGTAATTCAATACAATGACATTTCTTTTGATACTGAGAAATCCATGTTGATAACACTCAAACATCACAAATCACATGACAGTCCCTTACCCACATCACTGCATGTTTATGCCAGTGGAAATTCAAAATTTTGTCCTGTTCAACTCATGAAATCATATTTGGCAACTTTTGCACATACTAAGGGCCCCCTTTTTCAATTCAAATCAGGCTTGCCTGTATCTTACTACTTTGTTTCAAATAATCTTAGTCACACAATTGGTCTTTGCGGCTTAAATCCAAGACATTACAAAGGTCACAGCTTTAGGATAGGTGCTGCGACAGATGCAGCAGCTAAGGGTTTATCAGATACTACCATTCAGAAATTAGGTCGTTGGAAATCCAATGCTTTTCAAAGATACATCAGATTTCCAGCACATTGAACATGTTGTAGGGAAAAATTTATGAAAAGTTGTTGTGTATGTTATCTGAAGGAACTTTGTTAGTGGGCAGCATATGGTTGCACTAGCAACAAAGGACATATTGTAAATGTGTTTCCCCTTGGTTATGTCTCATTCAGTGCAGCGGTCAGCAGTTGGTTGCGCTGCAGAATGCCATGGTATATGTATATGTAAATTTCTTTGTTAAAAGCAGTGGTCAGCAGTTGGTTGCACTGCAGAATGTTATGATGTGTGTATATGTAATTTTCTTATTCTCTAACAATACCTGTTTTTGTTCAAAGCAGTGGTCAGCAGTTGGTTGCACTGCAGAATATTATTTAAAAACTTATTTGGATAGGATTTATCAACACTCTGATTAATAGTTTACATTTTATTTCTTTGGTGGTACATTTACATATGACACTTCTAGTCCGGTTCCCTTCCTTTTTTTTTATAATTTATTTCTAGTCACCATATTTAGTAGCATAATATGACCTTTTTTAGCCCTTTTTGGCTTGTATTGTTACCACACATGCTCATTCTTGTATATATTTATATAGATTATTATGTTTTTAAAGATTAGACTGGGCTGTTTCCATCTTCGACGACAGTAATTTTATATTTCTTGAATACATTGCAATGTTTTGTTTTTCCTTTTTCTTATTTCCAACTGCCTTCATTTCGGGTGGCCTTCAAGGTTTCACCTTGTCGATGTCAAGGTTTCACCTTGTCTGTGGCAGAATTTTTGGCCACCTTTTTTTGCTTTTGTTTTATCATCTAGTTCTGGGAGGCCATTTCAGTGTATAATGTTTGTTGTAATTATGTAATATGTACTCATTTTGGACTGTTTTACCTATAATGTATATTACAGGAAATATTGGTTTTTGGCCTCCCAGTAATTTTTTATAATGTGGATTGTTATCGTCATTTTTAATAAATGACATTTTTGGAATCACAAAAACTGTTCTGTTTTCTTTTGGCAAAAAACTAGCTTCACTGAAGGCAGTTTGCTTGGATTGAAAGAAGTTTTACTTAAATAAACTTACGAGATTGAGCACTTAACTCCAAAGACTTTAGTAAGTGTATTCCTCTAGCTGATCAAGCGAAGAGAGGAACCATGAAAAAAAAAAATCTTGGTTTATCTCGGAAACTTTCTGAGGACTCCATATTTATAAACAGTCAAAGAGATGAAACTCAAATTCCACCTATCACCAAAAGGAAAGTCCTTTAAAGATTTTTGATCCACTTGGAATCTTCACACCAGTTATTTCGAGAACAAAGTTGTTTCTACAAACATTATTGAACCAAAAGAAAGAGCGGGATGAAGAATTGACCAAAGAAGATATTCAACACTGGGAAAATATATCTTAAGATTTTGATGATATTCCCAGTTGCCATATTCCTCGTTTTATTGGAATTTCTGGTACAGTGACATATAATTGAATGTGCTTTTTTGACGCATCAACTAAAGCGTATGCCTGTTCGGTCTATTTACACCAAAGCAACAATGAAAGAACTACAGTCAACCTGCTTCTTTCAGAAAACTCGATTAGTGCCACGCAAGAAAATAACACTACCTAGATTGAAACTGTTAGCTGTTGTCATTGGAGTCCGATGCGTACACTTTGTTGAACAGAAACTTAAATTAACTAGCACAGAAAAGATTCTTTTAACCAAATACCAGTGTGCACTGCATTTGATTAGAATGAAGAAACCTCTAACAACTTCTGTGAAAAACAAAGTAAAAGGAATCAGAAACAATAAAAATATCAATTTTCAATATGTATCTACAAAAGATAATACAGCTGATATTGCAATCAGAGGGACAACAGTTACAACTCTTCAAGAATTTGAACAATGGTGGAATGGTCCAGAATGGTTAAATAAAAGAAGAGATGACTGGCCTTCATGGACAGAACTTTCTATTCCTAGATGTTTCCTTCATAGGATATAAGTGACAGTTTTTGTGATTATAGATTTGATTGGAAAAAAAAAATAAAGTATATATCAGAAAGCATTCTGAATATCTTAGCCATTGTAGTATTGTGATTTTTAATCCTTGTGGATTTATTTTTTGCCTTTAATCGCCATAGTAAATGATAAAAAAGATTTCCGTGTGCGTGTGATTTGCCACAAAGTCAAATGTCTTGAATGTAAGCCTCATATCCAAAAGAATTTAAACCAGCCGATATACTTCATAATTTAAAAACTTCAGGTAACTAATCAACTTATTTCATATGTCACTTTCAAAATCTAAAGACTACTAAATATGGTGAAATGGATAAAAGCTTTGAGAACCTAGGCAATTGCATGGTAAAAACTATGTATAAATGTCCTATACGCTTTGAAGACTTGTTAAAAATATTATTTTTTAAAGTTGTTTTTTTTAATATGATCTGTGTTTTAATGATCATTTAAAATGTATTACAAACTAACCCAATTTGTTAACCTGATGGTAGAATCTACTTTGTTTTGTCGATTAATAGAACCCTGAATGACAATTGCTTATGAAATAACTTGAGAATTAGGAAAAACCGATGTAAAATGTTTCAAACGTTTTGAACTAATTGAATATATCACAGATCATAAACTATTAACATGGTGCAAACCATCAAATGAGTGGGAGGTCGAACTCCCCTGTGTAAATAAATATGTAACAAACTCCATGAGTTTTTGATGTCAATTCTCAGAAGATGTCAGGGTCATTTAAGGAAATATATAACGCTAGGACATCATCCTTCCTTCAAATTTACATTCAATATCAAATGGAGATATACTATGGAGGTTTGCTAAAGCTAAAAAAGGTAAAAAAAAAAAAAAAAGGCTAATTATCAATCCCAACTTACTCCATTATTTCTTTGGAACAAATTATCATATAATGATGTTTTAAGGCAAATTACAAATTCATAGAAGAAATGTGTATTTTAAGGCCTGGTTTGCTTCTCATGATACCTCCACATCATTCTCAAAAGTCCGTCAATTGTTTCTCAAAAGTAATCAATGTGTTTTTTGTCTGTGCCATGTTGTAAGTTATGCATAATTAAGAATTACCAATGCCTTCAGACATCTATATAAATAGATGTATTACACTCTACTACTACAATTTCAAAAACATTTAGTATGAATAAAGAAATGAAGAAAAAAAATGCATAAAATATCAAACAGAAGTGAAACATTTTATTATATAGTCCATTAATAGTCCCTTTATATATATTTTTACAAATGCAAATGGTTCATAACACTACATATTCACTGGATTAAATGTATTCACCGGAGGGTCAGTTCGCATTCACCATCTCTTATAAAACATTCTTGTAAACATTAAAAAAAAAGAATGAAATAGATTGATCAACTCGTCTTTTTTTCCTACACTGCGCGTCCACAGAGCACAGCAAGATCATACTTGGTGAATACACGGGCAGTATGACTTCGTAAAAACAGGTCATAATCAGCACATGGTTGGGGTATTTTGGGAAATAGGAACACAGAAATTATTTTTGCACGGTTGATGACAGAAATCCTCTGTAGGTATATCTTATATCGCTTATTAAGCTATCGTGTGACGTTATATTTTTTTTCTCTACTCAAGAAATGTAAACATGACACCTTTTTTATCATGCTTAAGTCTTATTTAACGATGTCCTGCGCAATACTGAGGTAAGCTCCAACTTTAGATATTGTGCAGTGTGATAAAAGAAACTTGCTTTTTAAAACTTTAATCCCTATTTATATTCTAAAATATTTTAAAACATGCATGTCCATATAAATATTAATTTTATCTTTGCATAAAAATAACCATGTTAATTATGGACAGAATAATTGGCCCATAAACAAAGAGAATCAAACCTCCACTTAGACACTGTCGGGCATGGCATTTGTCAATCAATATCTCTGAAATAAGGTAAAAAAACTAATTTTATACTTAGTAACTGTTTTAGGATATGTGGGACAAACTAAATTATTGCTGCAATGTATACAAAATATGAAAAAAAAAAGCAATGAAAGAATTTTTTTCAGCCCAGGGTCATTCTTCCCCTTAAATGTTGCTTCTGGTGACTTGATTTTTGTTTGGATTTAAAAATTTCAGATGCTTATTCAAAATACATCGAATTGGCTTGTTCAAACGTTCATTCGTCCGCAATTATCGCAGTAAACTATAAATAGTTTGCTAGCCGATAAATCTCTATTGTCTATGCAATTTAGAAATATAAGTACATGAACAAATTTGTATAAATTGTCAATCTAAAAAAAAAAAAAAAAAGAATGACATCATTTGTAAAAATCAATCCATTTGGCAAGAAATAACTTGTAGTTACACAAACTATTTTCAAATTCAATGATACTGCAAGAACATTTCATCCAATTATGATGAAGACATTTTAGTTTCTTCACATTATCTAAAAACAAATCACAATTAACGTTTGCTGTAGCAGAACATGCAATAAACATATTGTAGATTCCTTATTTAACGCGAGTACTTAAATCGCGTAATTTTCATAGAAGGTCAAATCGCGAGAACAATAATTCGCGAGTGGACGATTGATCTGGAGATTTTACATACATTTAAGCACCATAAAAATAAAAAAGTAAGTGATTTTATTTCGCCAGTGCTGCTTCTAGCGAAATGTCATAATAATTTATTCCTCGCGTAAATTTAGGAATCTCTTATTGTTCAATAGTCTTTGAACATGTTGAATGCAATTATTATGAAAAAGTTCAGTCTTTTTATTTTATATATTTTTTTTTTACAATATTAAAACATGAGAACAACAATAACCCATATTCAGTCAAGTGAATTTAATACGAAGACTGTAGTTATGACAAATACAGATACATGCTTGTAAATTTCAGATGACCACACATTTCCAGTGTTGTCTATTCTTCATAATATAATATTACTGTTATTTAAAGTCAGTAGGTGATGTATCATTTTCTTTCAGCTCATCATTGCGTCTTTTAGAAGACATAAATACCCTAATCAAGTCTATCATTTCCCTTTGATTTGCAAGAATTTGTGTAAAGACATTCTCTTTGCATTTATCGCCAGAATATCCAGGTTCACAAACCCCATAACAGGATCCGGTCACGTGATGACACGGTCCATAACCTTTACAGTAACCACATTGTTCTTGACATTCTAAGCCATACCAGCCATGGCTGCATGCTGAATATAAAGTGGAAAAGAAACATAAAAACCAAAACTTGAATACTACGAAATCGTATCAGATGTAAAACATTTTTTTATTAGAATAATGAAAATGTAGAACGCAGATTTGCAACTTTCTGCACAATCGCCTGAGGTATAGTCATTGATTTCAGAGTATATTCATGAATTTTATACAAATGAATATTTTCCATTTACTTCTGTTGCACAATGGTCCCCGATAGCCAGCATCACATCCATGAAAACAGGATCCGTTCAGTGGATGACATTGAACTGACCTAAGGCATTGACCACATTGCAAGGTACAATCCTTTCCATAAAATCCACCATCACATTCTGATACGATTGTATTAAAGAAAGAATAAAAATATGATAAAAAATGTATTCATTTTGATCTGCGCTATACGTTACTATTTGTAAAGAAGTAGACATGAAATGAAAGATACACGCCTTTTAAAAAATAACGTCATTCAATTTAAGTTTGAAAATTGACCACGCAGCACAAATTTGCATACTATGAAGAAATGGACGGAATTATCGATAGCACAATAAATATTCTTTAAAACTGAACTGATTCTTGTCAAACAATGGACCTATACTTACGTAATTTGTTGAATAAAGTTCTGGGATTATTTTAACATACGTCACCTTAATTAATTTTAAAATTCAATTGCAATAAATATGTAGATGTGAAATGTTTCCGAGGAACCTTGAATAGTTGTATCGATATAATTCATGTAAGTTATCTAAAATGGCTCATGTAAGCCATAGAGAAAAAGTCTTAATTATAAATTCAGGAATCGGATACATTAGAGAGGTTTAGCAAACCAACGCCTACCTGCACGCGTACTTGTTTATCACCGAGTATACGTAAGTACGAAATTGTAGCTTATATTTTCTTATTTAATGTTTATTTCAAAGAAAGGTAATGATTTTCGAAAACTAGAAGATATAATGCGGATATTGATAGAAAGAACTAAATGTTTCTCATTGAAACAAAATATTTTATTGAGTGTCAAGTGCGCTTCTCTTGACTATCAACTTATCAAACCTTTCTCTTACAAATCAAGTTGATGACAACTTAAAAAAAAAAACATTTTCGTTAAAAATCTATATGTATGCATAAATATGTTCAAATTAGAAATATAAACTTTACAAATAATATATTTTAATTCTTGGAAGAGAGAAGAGAGAAAGCCTGGGCCGGAGGAAGGTGGGATGGCGTGAAATTGAAATAAAAAAAATGTCACTGTATTTCTTTTCAGTTTTGAAACATATCTGAGTGTAAAAAAGTAAATAAGATTTTCCGAGAGGGATTATTTATTGCTTTTGAGAGAAGTTTTGGCCATAAAAACCCTTTAAAGATAGAGCAAAGTAGACTGACGTCAACAACGCTATTAGCAGGGGTGGCTTCGATGTAGATTGCGGGAAAGTCAGAGAGATCCAGCCTTTTGATACAACACCATAGAAGAAAGAGTGCAGAAATCAGGAAAAAAATATAAAATTTATGACATTTTGGATTAATTCCCAATTTGATTTTTTTTTAATTGCATACATTTTGCATATAACTTGTACATGGTAATAGATTTATATGCTGTTAGGTTTAAATAAATCACAATGCTGCTTGTTGTAAAAATATTTCAAAGTAATTAATCCATTATCAAAATGATCATGATCAGTGCAGTAGTAACATCATTTGAAAAATAAAAAAAAAGCGGGGGGGGGGGGGGCGTTATTCTGAAAAAGTCAAAAAGGGGATTTGTATATTAGTACAGATTTAGATATATTTT